ATAAACTGTAGTGTAAGAATTCTAGCTGGAGCTGGACATGGTGGTACATGTCTGTAATCCTAGCACTCTTGGAGTCTGAGGCAGGAGGATTGCATGTCTGAGCCCAGCCTGGGTAATTTAGTGAGACCCTGTCTCAAAACTAAATGGGCTGGGGCTATAGCTAGAGTCTTTTCCAGGAGAGCTCCATTATTAACTGGAGTCTTTTCTCTGAATCCTTAATTTATAGTAAAGTGAAGACAGGTGTTACAGTAGAAAGGAAATGAGCATTGACCTAGTGTTATGAGCGATATGAAAGTGGTTAAAGTAACTCAGGTACTTTTAGCTAAAGGTTGTGACGATCTTCTGCCCTCTATTCTCCTACCGTTTCTCCGGAGTAATGCTTATGTGAGATAGCAGAGATGATACCATTAGAAAAGTAGGTTCTTGAATACTTTCCTGGGTTCCAATCCTTATGTTGGTGCTTATTACAGTGTTTGTGAGACTTTGGGCAAATTACTTAAATCTTTCTAACCCTTAATTTTCATATCTATGAAAAGAATTTAATCATACCTACTTCATATGATGATTACAAGAATTAAATGAAGTATTGCATGTAAAGAACTCCATGTAGTACAGTGGCACATAGGAAGCACTCAAGTGCTTGTGATGATAATAGTACTGTCACTTTACTTTATGATTAAAGACCAGAGTACTTTTTCTTAGAGTTTGGCTTAGTGCTTTTCAGTGGCTTAGATTACATTAATTGGGCACTTAGTGTAGATTTGCTAGTGGTTATAAAAAGGTGGAAAAATTTGTAGGCGATAGTTTATGCTAGTAATGTACTATAAATAAATAACTCATGTATAAGATTCCTCACTCCTTCAGAACCTCAAGTTTTCTTGGCTCCCTTCCTGCTCACTAGAAAGCAGATGTAGCGAAAGGGAGAAAATAAACCGAGAGTGCCAGAGACTGAGAACACAACACTCCTGATGCCTGTGTTCACAGAGCTGACTAAATGGAGCACTTAGTGCTGGACAGCTGCCCTGCTTTTGACTGTAGAGGTGGCTGCTGCGGTTACAGGGACATAGGTAATTTCTTTGTTCGGGTAGAGGGTATCGGTATTGAAAAATTCACGTTTTTGTCAGTCTGTTTATTATCTTTGCTTTCGACTCTGTCGTGTTGGAACACCCAAAGACCTGCCTGCCTAGAGACTGGAGAAATACACATTCATTGGGGTTTAAAAAAAATCCAGCTCAGAAGCACCACATGAGAAGCTCATTTAAAGTAAACTGTCCTCTGGTAAGGGTGGGTATGACTGCTGCAGAGTAGAGGGTCTCTTGAGATTATGAGAGGATGAGGTCTTAGGAGAGCTGAGCCAGGTTTTAGAAAATCCTTCCAGGGGAAAATACCTGGAGAGCCACCAGCTATGTCCTCATCCTAAGGCCGAGCCATTGATTGCTGGTGTCAGAGTGTAGTGACAGGGTGTGGGAGGGATGTAATTTAAAATAATTCTAAATGGGATAAAATAGTAACGTTTAGACCTTTGGTAATGTATGTGAAACTCTGACACTGAACGGGGTTGAGTGTGAACAGTAGTTCAGTCTCTGAAACAGCCTTAAGAGAACGGGCATCTCCAACTCGTAGTAAGCCGAAACATTTTCCCCAGTTGCTGGGCAGACATCATGGAGCTCATGGGTTCTTGGAAAGGGTCCAGTTTGTATCTCTCTTAGATGACTGCAGACATCACCTTTTTTTCAAAATTATTTTATACTGTTCAAAACTTTCTGTGACTTTGCTGGGTATTTCAGGCAAACACTTGGCTTTCTTTGTAAGCTTTCAGAAACACCCTGTGGCTCTCTATTGGGTTAATAATATCCCTTAGTTACTGCAGGCTGATCAGGTCCTCAGTCTCCCAAGTGGGTGCACGGCAAAGGCTGAATAAAAAGAGGCAGGTGGAATGATTGCAGGGCTCCAGGAGGATCAAAGACCTTTCACAGAATTCGAGATTCTCTCAGGGCTAAGACCTCTTTCTCTGGGTGGCCCGTATTTATTTGGTTATCAGAAGAAGGGAGAGGGGAGTACTCAAGAAGGGCGGGACCACTCAATGGACTTCTCCAAGTAAGGTATTAAGTTAATCTACCCAGGAGAGAGATGCCTGAGGCTACAGTCTTTATGTAGTTGAAGTTGGATCTCGATGTCCTTGGCTGTGATCTTGTCTTATCCTTTGAGGCCTTCTGGCTTCATCTGCCATTACAGGCTTTAGTAGGGACCAGTGACTCACAGAGGTTCACTTACTATATAAGTCCACGACTCATCTCTAGACAAGGAGCCTAGGCCTTGGACAAAAGTAAACATGAAAGCCAATTGGTTAATTGAAGTCCTGCTCAGGGCTGCTTCATAGTGGTCGCCATCAGCTCTCCTCCCCTTCTGTTCTTCCATAACTAAATGGAACTTTCAAGCAGTTTTTAACAAGTATTTTGGATATTTTCTACCTACTTGTTCTCTATAGTTGATGAAACCTGAGTTTTCCATGTCTCCAAATTGCCAAAATTTGTTGAACAAAGAAATTTGTTTATGAGTATTTCTTACTGTTTCTTTACTTATGATTACCGAGTCCTTACTTATGATTATTGAGTCCTTATTTAACCAAAATTAAGTTTTGATGCCTGGCGTGATGGTGCATGCCTGTAATCTCAGCATTTAGGCTGAGGCAGGAGGACCACAAGTTCAAGACTTAGCCGTGCTAACATAGTGGTATGCTGTCTCTAAATAAACAAATAAGGCCAGGGATATAGCTCAGTGGTAAAGCATGCTAGGTTTGATCCCCAGTACCACCCCCTAAAAGAGTTTTCAGTCATTCTAGAAACAACATCTATATATTGTACTATATTAGCATGCCACCACACCTGGCTTTTTCAAACTTGTTCTTAAAATAATTTGCTCTTGGTAGAACCCTAGGAGAACTACCTCAGTCCCTTCTTAGGCGTGTCGCCAACAACCTAGCCAGGTCCCACTAGATCTACCTCTTAAAGGTTACACCACTTCCCAGCATCTCCACACTGGGAACAAAGCTTCGAGCACTTGAACTGTTAGAGAAAAACCCATCCAAACCACAGTACAAGCTTTATTTAGTGAGTTTTGTGTCTTTTCTGCTTGTGTGGCCTTTAGCTCTTGGTACAAGACTACCTTGCATATTGTAACCATTTTGCCTTATTGTAACCATTTTGCTGCCAGGCAGCTCTGATTGGTTTTTTCGTTTTTGTTTGTCTTTTTAAGACAGGGTCTCACTATGTAGTTCAGGATGGCCTTGAACTCACTTTGTAGCCCAGGCTGGCCTTGAACTCACAGTGATCCTCTGGCCTCAGCCTCCGGAGTGCTGGGATTACACGCATGTGCCACCATGCCTGGCCAGGTAGCTCTGATTTGAATTGACTCACATTGGGCAGCTTGAACCACCAGTGGTACATATGTGACTATCCCAGTGAGCAGCTTGTATTGCTTCTCAGGGGGTCTTTGATTATAAGAAGGCAAAGGCATTGATTTAGCAGACCAGATGTCATCATTTTACAGGTTCTTAAGGAAAACATTAGGATTGTATTAAAAAATTACATTCCTTTTTGAGACAGAGTTTTGCTATGTATGTAGTTTAGGCTGATCTTGAACTCAGCCATCCTCCTGCCTCAGCTTCCTGAGTGCTAGGATTACAGGTGAGTGCCACCATGCCAGGCTAATTTTGTGGTATAGCAGTTGTAAATATATATTATATATACTAGCAATAGGGTACTTATGAGATTTCCATGTTAAGATTTAGAGAATTGATGGGGGCAGTTGAGATGGGGTCTCACTATGTAGTTCAGGCTGGTCTATAACTCACTGTGTAGCCCAGGCTGGGCTCACAGTCATCCTTCTGCCTCAGCCTCCCAGGTGCTGGGATTATAGCCAGCACCACTCCAATTCTGGGATTATTGCCAGGTGAACCACCACACCTGGCAAAATTTAGAGAATTGATTATTAATAAACTATCAACCCATGGAAAAAAGCCATAGGTGCAGATTACTTGAAAACAATCACTTTATAAAAGTTTCTTTAGGATCAGCAAGAAATGCATGCAGTAGCCAGGTGTGGTGGTGCATGCCTGTAATCCCAGCACTCGGGAGGCTGAGGCAGGAGGATCACCATGAGTTTAAGGTCAGCCTAGGCTACATACTGAGTTCAAGCCAGCTTGAACTGCATAGTGAGACCCTGTCTCAAAAAAAGAAAAAGAAAGAGGGAAAGGGAGGGGGGCACACAGGCACAAGCAAAACAGAGAATGTTATCAAAAATTATCTGAAAAAAACGTGTGCTGCTATTGTTTCAAAAAAGCTAGATCATTATATTTTGTGCACTCCATACAAATCAGCCACTTCTATTTATAACATTTTTTTAAATTCACAAATATAAATTGCTTTTAATTTAATGAAATGTATTGATTATTCTAATAATCTTAATTGGTATGAATATTATTGATGAGTATTTATGTTTGGGCAGTATTCAAATTTAAGCAACTAACAGATTTGGTTTGTTTATAGACTTTTTATTAATTTTTTTAAATAAAAAGTTCAGGCCCAAGGATGTAGCTCAGTGGCTTAAGTGCCTGCCTGGCAAACGTAAGGTCATGAGTTTGATTCCTGGTATCAAAAATAAATAAATAAATAAATAAATAAATAAATAAATAAATAAATAAATAAATAAAAATCCAACAAAAGTGATTAGATCCATTTCTACCACCAGTGGTTCAGGACACCCGAGGCAGCAGTCATGCATGTTCCACCAGTCACTCAAGCCAGAGGGAACATGTAAAGTTTCGAGACAGGGTCTCTGAGTTGCCTGGGCTGTCCCCAAATGTGAGATTCTCCTGCCTCCGACTCCCTAGCAGCAGGAACTACATGTGTGCCGCCCCCCGCCATGCCTGGTCATAACTTACTCTTACTTACTTTATGAATAGCTAGCTTGTTTCAACAGTGTTCTTTGTTCCTAAACAGTCTGAAGACGATGAAAAGCTGAAAAAGAGGAAGGAGCGATTTGGAATTGTCACAAGTTCAGCTGGGACTGGAACCACAGAGGATGCAGAGGTGAAGTATACTTATAAAGCTTCATAGTGCTCTTGAAACAGAGGATGAGTACTGTGAGTGGAGAAGATGCCTGTGTTTCTCCAGCCTAATTCCTGAGTTCCCAGATGGAAAGATTTGCCTTTTGCTTGATAACTTTTCTCGGGATGAAGTAGTCACACTGAGTTCCATCAGTGTATTTAATTCGTTATTATAGTCCATTAGCCTAATAACAAAGAACACAGGACCTGGAATCAAGGAGGCTTCGATTTAAAAGTGGTTTTACCACTTCTTATACTTGTAAGTTACAGGTACTTTCCTGACCTTCGTTTCATCATCTGGCAGGCAGAGCTTCAGACTAGGGTTTTGAGAGTGAAATGAAATTCTGAAAAAGGAGATGATTTTATGCAAAAATACTTGAAATGATGCCTGTCATGTTGTAGTAGTGGTTATTACTATGTGTGGGGTATATTTCCTTTGATCATTTAATGAAAGCTACCTCCACGGGTGTGTTTGTGCCCGACTCCCCTCTGGAATAGGATAACATACTCAGATGAGGCTTCATGCTTACAAATAATTTCTTTAAATGAAAGAGTAGGTGTTCCTAAGCTTTGTATTCATCTGTGGGGCTGGAGATACAGCTCAGTGGCATAAGCGCCTGTCTGTATTCGTCTGTATCTCACGTTCTTTTAGGTTATAGTTCATATTCACTGAGCTTGAACATTGACAGATAATGTTGATTTGCCGAATTGAGAGTATCCTTACTGTAATGGAGACCAGGTATCGCCTCGGATGAATATAGAGAACAGTGTAAGCTGGGTGTGGTGGCGCACGCCTGTAATCCCAGCACTTGGGAGGCTGAGGCAGGAAGATCATTGCGAGTTTGAGGCCAGCTTGGGCTACACAGTGAGCTCAAGGTGAGCCTGAACTGCATAGCGAGACCCTGTCTCAAAAAAAAAAAAAATAGAGAACAGTGTAAATAACTATTATTTGTAGAATTACTGAAAATTTCTTGGGTAGCAAGGAACTTGGATGTTCTTTCTTGCTTTTATTTAATCAAGATTTTATTATATTTTTCATCTACTTCCGGATATAGCTTCTAAAAATTTGTTACACACTCAAAATGTAAAGTTTTTAGCCAGACATAGTGGCACATGCCTGTAATTCCAGCACTCAGGAGTCTGAGGCAGGAGGATCACCACAAGCTCAAGGCCAGCCTTAACCCTCTAATGTCCCCAACCCTCTCGACAGGGACTGGAAATATATATGCTGATAGCTCGGAGCATTGTCACTATTAGGAAAATCTCTATTGACAGATTTGTCAGAGCCTAAAATTATACAGCATGGGTTATACAAATAATTTCAGACAGAAACGCAAAGATTGGAGAAATGTGAGCAGAGTTCTTTGTGCTACTGAGAACAAAATGCTACCTGTTCTAAGTATCTGCTTACTTACTGATTTACCAGGATGAGCTTGCAGTAAATGTAGGCTTTTCTCTGGATTAGAGGCCTGAGAGATATCCACTGCCTGGGCCTGACTGTGCAGATGGGCATTCTCACCACTTCCATAAGTAATTACTGGTTAACCCCTTGTCCTCTGAAGTCTGCCATCTCCCCACTGATTAGAAGACCTTGCCCAGCCTGTTAAGGACCCCTTATTTCTAGACTAGCTTGTTCTAAAGCTGAGTGGCGCTCTTGTCTGGGAAGTCTTTCCACCATAATTCTTCCTTCCCCCTCCATAAAAAAACTTGGCCACCCCCCATAATCCTTTCCTCCCACTCCTGTTTTACACTGAAGTACCCCAGTTCTCACTGGATAACTGTAGAGATTCAGGAATGAAATTTCTGGCTGAAGAGCTTAAAGTGTCTGGGTCGTCCTTTCTTCCTGGACCTTGTGACAGTTCATGTGAGTTTGGGTTAAAGCAGCCAGGAACCTAGGCTACTGTTGTCCTACAGTCTAATATTTTTCTTCATGCTTTTTTTCTTACAGGCAAAGAAAAGGAAAAGAGCAGAGCGCTTTGGGATTGCATGATGAAAAGTTGTTGATGCTTTCTCTTCTCCGGTGGTTTCCATTTCTGATTCTTCTTGGTCACATATATCCTAAGTGCACAGTCACGTGCCTGTGTCCTGCCTCGAAATGAGGGGGCATGTACCCCAGGTACATCCGTGAACTCCAGCAGCAATTTGACCTGCTGCTGTTCCAACTTTAAGGTTGTTGTGGTTTTGTTTTTAATTATTTTGCTTGTTAATAAAAAAAAATAGAAAAGACAACAATGTGTTTTATTAGGTGCTCCTTTAAGTTCTTAGAGCCAGATTAGACCAGATAAGAACTTCAGGGGTAAGTATCGGAGGGAATCAGCCATAATGCCTTTATCACTTAAGACAAGGAAGAGGATCGAGTCTCCCTTTAAGCCTATTTAGTCCCTTCTCTCATAATCACAGGCATCTTTTTTACCTCTGGATCCTCTGCAGTTTGGAGTGACCCCCTGAGAGAAAATAGGGAGAACATGGGAGGTTTAAGGTGATACAAAGGATATAAATACAAGGGCTAATGATTAGTATTCTTTATCATAAGCTAACATTGAAGTCTTGTTGGATAAAATGGAATCCAGAGTCCTGCAATAAGAAAGGCCTAGCTGGGTTGGTGCCGCACACCTGTAATCCAATGCTCAGTAGAGTGAGGCTGGAGGCTCGCTGCAAGTTTGAGGCCAGCCTGGGCTACATGGTGAGTTCAAGGCTACCTGAATTACATAGCAAGACCTTGTCTCATAAATAAATAGAAATAAGAAAGAAAGGCCCTATTTTCCAGGATGGCCTGGCAAGATACTCTGTGGTCAGTATGTTGGAGGGATCTTGTTGGTTATGCAATTTAGGAATGTAGATGAGCTACATAGCTTCTCAGAGATAGAAGAGAACTAGAGATTCAAAGCATGACAAAGGATGTCAGGAGTTTTACGCATTCACCATTGGGAACCATATGCAGCTAGACTAGATGCTTGCATTCCTTCCTCCCTTCATTCGTTTTCCTTTTATGGAGCTGGTGGTTGAACCCAGGGTTTTGTGCCTGACAGGCAAGTGTTCTACCACTCAGCTACATTTCTGCTTCCTAGTTGAGCCCTATGCTAATTTATCCCCCTCTGCTCCAGAAGTTACTATTGTAGTTTTTTTTTTTTTGGTTTTTCTCCGGTACCGGGAACCGAACTCACGACCTTGCGCTTGCCAGGCAGGCGCTTTGCCGCTGAGCTAAATTCCCAGCCCCTGTTACTATTGTAGTTTTGATGGTAATGTTTCTGATATTACTAAAGTTGATTTTTCTTGCTTGAGGTTACTACTTAGGAAAAGCTTGGCTTTCCCCTGACAGGTTGCTTGTTTGCGTATCAAATTTTGTGTAGATCTGAGACCTGGTCCTTAGTCTTTTTGAAAGTATTAGTGAAGGATTTGACCTCTTAATGTGTTGTTTTGCTGGTTTCTTGGGGGAAGAGGATGATAAAACTTACAGCTTGGTTCTTTATAGAAGATGTTGCTACCATGATGAATTCCCGTATTGCTGTGGTCCTTATTTCTACCAAACGGTTGTGGTTAATAAAAAGGCAACAGTTTGATCAGTTTCCCTGACGTTAAGAATCTCATTATTTCTGCAAATTTTCTGGTTGGTGAGGATGGTAGGGACTTAAATTTAGACACTTCAAAAAAATAGCCCTTGGAGAGCAGATCCAGGGTTTACCCCGTTGTTGTGAATTTTGCCCCGAGACTTTAGAGAAATGAATGAAGGAGAATGTTGGCTAAAGCTCTGTCACCTCAAAAATTTGCTTTTGGAAACAGGGTCTCACTATGTAGTTCAGGCTGGCCTTGAACTCTTCTTACTAATTTAGTCTTCAGAGAGTTTATTTTGTTTACCTAAATAGAACAGACATTTAGGCTTATAATTCTTTATCAGGGAGCCAAGCACCCTCCCTTCCAGTCCCCCAATCTTCCTGTAGCTGATCTAGCGTCCAGATGTGGTTAGCGGACTCTAATCCTTGTTCTGAAGCCGTGACATTCTCTGCATACCTGGAAGCTCTTAATGAGGGAGTCTATAAAAGCTGTGGAGGAAGCTAGCTTGCTTAGCTATAAATCTGTACTTTTTATGACTAGGATTTTTTTCTCTACCATCACCCTAAACTGCTCTGCTTCCGGCCCCAGCTCCTGAGAGGTGAAGATAGAAGGATAGAAGCTTCTGTAGAGGTGAAGGCCACAGGAAGGTGTGAATAAGGACAGAACTTCTTGGTGTTGTATGTTTGAGGTAGAGTCTCACTTTATAGTTCAGGCTGGCCTTGAACTCACTGTATAGCCCTGTAGCCCAGCCTGGCTTTGAACTTACGGTGAGCCTCCTGCCTCAGCTTCTCCTGAGAACTGGGATGACAGGCATGCGCCACCATGCCCAGTAGTGTTTTGTTTTTGAGACAGTTTCTTAAGATGTTGCCGGTGTTGCCTAAGCTGGCCTTGAACTGGTAGTTCTTCCTGCCTCACCTTCCTGCATGGTTGAGACATAGCTACATGCCGCCATATCCAGCCTCTTTCTGGTGTTAAACTGAGTTCTTTGTTGTCTGCCATGAGAAACAGATGCAGGGAGAGGAAGGGACTTAGATAATTAGGGAGAGATCTCTTTTCCCTGTTCTTTTATATGAGGCATCTGATACACAGTACTACGGATTATTGAGACCCCCCTCCCCAACAGTCTAACCTTCCTTTCTGAAAACATCTCGACTCCTGGTTTTTCCCTCCAAAGGAAAATGTTCACCCCATGTGTTCCTGTCTCATTTTCTCTTTCTTCTCTTGTCCCTGTAGTTTCCCCCTTTTCATACCGCTATTAATAGGTTACAGTGTAGGGTAGGATTTTGTTGCTGTTTTATTTTGTTTTCTGTTTTTTGGAGACTGGTTCTTGCTTTGTAGCTGGCCTTGAGCTCATTATGTAGCCCAGGCTGGCTTCCAACTTACAGTGAGTGAGCTTCCTGTCTCAGCCTCCCAAGTGCTTGGATTACAGGCATGTGCCATCAAGCCTAGATAGAACGTAATATCTTGTAGCAACTGCTTAGCTTCAATTCCTCATTCTGCTATTCTTGTTCTGAAACCTTGGGCTAAGTACTATCTTCCTGACTCTTTCTAGACTCTGCCAATAAAAAACCTTATTGTGAAGGTTCTCATGAAAGTTAAGTGATAGTTACATTATTTAATCAGTACAGCTTACTGTAGTTTGCATAATGGCCATTGAATAAATACTAGTTCTTAATTTTATTTAGGTAAAATTAAGATGTAGAGCAAGTGAAAAAATTTTTCCCTGAACAGTTTCCAGCCAGAGGATGGTGATAGGTGTGGTGTCTGTGCATATACTTGCGTATGCTGTTGTGTTTGGAGAACAGGAAGAAGTGGGCAAGAGTCCTATTTACTCCTTTAACGCCAGGTGATTGGCAGGAGAGCTGTCACTGTCACTGGGGCATTGCCTTTCTTGCTTCTGACCCACTATAGACCAGAAACTAAATGTCACTGCTATCTGGTTCTTAGCTCTGGAAGCACACCTCATACCCTAAAACTGGCAAAAGCAGAGTATAGGGTAGCTGCTCATGTGCGAGCGTGGAGGGTGTTTTGCACAAAAAAAACGAAACTTGACTTGAGAATTGGTTTCTTCTGTGCAGGAGACAAATGAGCAGTAGGGGAGAGGACCCATTTTTGGCTCAGGCCAGTAGCCTAGGAGTAGATGGTAAAGTGGCTCCTTTGGGAGATGAGGTACTGCGTATCACTTCTGTCACTCATCTTCCATCTCAACCGCGCCTGATCCCAGCCTGTTTTGTAGTTGGTCTAGGGCAAGGTGGACCAGTCAGTGTGCTGACAGAACTGACAGGACAAGGAAAGTATGGTAGCACATCGACTGGCAGTGGCCCTGTCCATTCTGGATCAGGTGCTGTCCCAGCCTAGCTTTCTTTTCCTTTTCTTTCCTTTTTTGCTCCTTTTTGAGACAAGGTCTCACTGTGCAGTTCAGGCTGTCTTCAAAGGTGCAGCAATCCTCTCACCTCAGCCTCCCAAGTGCTGGGATTACAGGCGTGCACCATCATGCCCGGCCCCCTTTTTTCTTTTTAAATAGGTCAAGCATCCCAAGATGAATGTAATTATTATGTAACATGTATATCAAAATTTAAAAAAAAAATACAAATCAGGCAAGCAGGACATAGTGGCACACACCTGTAATGCCAGCCTTCTGAGACTGAGGCAGGAGAACTGCAAGCTTAAGCCTACCCTAGGCAAATTACTTTAGACTGTATCTCAAAATCTAAAGCAAAACATTTTTTAAAGGGTGGGGAACATAGCTAAGGGGCAAAAGCCTTGAGTTCAATTCCCAGTACTAGCAAAAAAGAAAAAAGTCAGCTGAGCCTCGTAGTACATGCCTGTAATCCCCACTTGGGGAACTGAGGCAGAAGGGTCACCACGAGTTTGAGGCCACCCTAGGCTACATAGTGGGTTAAAGGCCTGCGCTACAGAGCAAGACCCTGTCTCGAATAAAAAAAAAAAAAAAGAAAAGGCATGGTTCTTTTGCCAACCCCTCTCTTGAGCCCTGGGCATTGTGCTTCTGGTACCTGGCGCAGTTTCTACAGTGGACTCAAGACTGAAGTGCTTGCTTCAGCACTGTTGGACATGGTCAAGGTAAATGGCTGCTGGTTCAGTTTATGTAGAAATCTAGGATCATGGAGTACAGAAGAACAGGACAGACTGGGTCATCTTAAGAGAACATCTAGATTTTCCATTTTGCAGAGGCTGGGAGCGTTTTTGTATTTTTGGAACTGTTTTGGATCAAGCTGTCCAGGTTAGAGTTGTTTCAACTCGCCTCCCCTTTCCCGGCCTCTGTACCTGTCCCTTGGACTGCGTTTCCTACCCTTACCCCACATGCCCTTCGTGGGTTTTTTTCTTGTTCCAAGGACCCCGTTTTCTTAGGTGTAAAGCAAAGGTTTCCTCTCAGCTCCTTTTCCGGTCTCTGAGGTGTAAATATGGCGCTTGATTAGGGAGAAGAGTTCAGCACTGAATTCTAAACTCTTTGACTGCTTTTATTTTTCTTTTTTCAGGTTCAAGTGCTGGATTGTGTCATGTGACCATCCCAAAACTCAGAGCACCCTCTGGCCATCTTTGCCCTCTGTCACATAACTTGAAAACTGCCTGATGGCCTTTTTGCAGTGGTCCCTCCCAGGAAGCCGTGATTTCAGTGAAGAAGTCCTTTCCAGCATTCCAGTGCCCTGTCAGCCCCATATTCCTCAGACACCCTTAACAAACAAAGGCAATCACGCACACGATGTAACAAATACACAAAGGAAATAATCACACTAATAATATGTTCTCAGGGGCGCTCGCCAGGGTCACACGAATAAGGTGGAGGAGGGGTGCTCCCTCCAGGTTGCTGGACTGTGTCCCCCAGCCCCTTCATCCCATGCTCTTTGGGGATAGGGATGAACGGGACCGAGACTTCAGCTCCTAGACTTACACTTGTAAGAGAAACTCCTCCTCCTCCCCTGCAAAGGTCTTTATTTGGTGGTCTAAAGGGGCAGTATGTTGTGTAGTGCCCCAGCTCTCGACTGTGGAGGGAAGTTACCTGATGCCTACTGCCCAACCCTACCCTGTCCAAGATCGAGAGATACTTGATCTTGGGGGAAGCATTTTCTTCACTCTCCTGCCCCTCTCCTACCAAAGAAATGTGAATGCATCGATGGTGAGGTGTCTTACTCTCCGTTGAGGCAGAAGGGTGACGAGCAGGGCTGGAGAGGAGAGGCTTGGGTTAGCGTAGCTGCTGTCCGGGAGGTTAGTTGGAAAGCGTAACAGCTCCTCCTTATTCCTCTGCTGAAACACCTTGTCTCATTTTCTCATTATGAGAATAGGTGTAAGACGCTCAAGCTCAGCATTACCTTCCCAAGGTGACCACGTACCTTTGTCCCTTCCATGGTCTGGTCCAAGCGGGAGAGAGACGCCCTTAGGAGGAACTAGCCTTCCGGGTTTGCTCTCCGGCATGGGCTTTGCTTCAGTTCAGTACCGTTTCCACCAGACCATCACTGTTGGATTTACTTAAGAGTGGGAATTTGCTGCAGGTTTTCAGCCCCGTCTCCTGACGTCCTCTAGGCTCTAGCCTGGAGCCAAGAGGTCCGTGGGTGAGGTATGGATAGGGTGTGGAGATTCTCAACTCAGGCACTCTCCAGCTGGCAGGCAGCAGGGAACTTGGATTCTCTGAAGCCTGTGACTCCTCTAAGCCTCAATCTCTTCACCACTGCTCTGGTGCCCTGGTTATGTGGTCCCACAGCGAGAGGTATTTTATGTCCATAAAGTGCCCGTGGTAAGTGCTCAGAATTCATCTCTTGGCTGTGGCGGGTGCTGCTATTTCTCTTTCCATTGAGGGGAAGAAACTGAGGCCCAGCGAGTCCAGAGGAGGGTGCGCTGGGATTGTGGGAGGAATGAGTGGGCCCAGCTAATGACTTGCAGTGGCAGTCAGTCTGCTGCTTCCTAGCTTCCAACCCAGGGAGTCTGTCCTTCCCGTCCTCCGCTGTAACCGGCCTTGCAGATGCCTGTCCCCACTGTACTGTTCCCTCCCTGCTGCCAGATACTGCTATATTCCAAAAATAAAAAATAAAAATTATAGACACTCTGCTCCCTTGTTTGCCCTCCTTCTACCCTGAGCTTTGGGGTGGGGGGACTACAGTGTCCCCCTGCAGAATCCCTTCCACCTTGGTCTGTTGGCCCTATTCCCTAGCCCAGAGCAGTGATTTGGATTCAGATGCCCTGTAACCTTCAGCCTACTTAACCACTCCTTTCTTGACCCCTCCAAATCCTTCCCAGACCTGGGGGACTCTGGGATCTTTTTTTTTTTTTTTTTTTCCATTGACCTGAAGATAGAGGCTGGGAGCAGGGACATTCCACAGGCTCTTTGGTCTCTCTCTGCTGAGGGGAATTTGGGTTTAAGCAGGCTGTACCTTCTGGCTAAGTACATCAGTACCATGAAGAATGCTGGCCTGAGGGTTAGTAGCTCCATAGCTCGTGGATGTTGAGGACTCGCCTTTCTCCAGCTCTTAAACCCTAGCCCGTTCCTGCGTCCACGCCGTTCAGTTGGCCGCAGGTTGGTTAGGGTACTTAGGGGTTAGAAACTCACATGTGTCAGCCCTCTTGCCCTTTACCCCATTCCCAACCCTGGAGGCTTTATACAAGTGCTTAAGCGGGTGGGCATGGGGGAGGAGCAGGGTTTAGGGAATAAGGGACAAACGGGGCGTAGTGGGCAGGGGCCCTCCTAGTCCAGTAAAGCCAAATACCAACAAATGAAAAGTCACAATAAATAAATAAATAAGATTCCCGAACCCTTTGCCCCTGCCCTCACTCCCCTTCCCCGCCACGGCTGGAGGAAGCGCGGGAAGAAGCTGAGAGTGGGTAGATCTCTCTTACTGAGTAGTCAGGGGTCTCCCCAGACTCAAGCCCCTCACCTTGCCAGTGGAAGGAAGGCGGCTTGGAGCGGGGCGCTCATTTATTACTCCATGCCGGTCTCTCCCAGTGTTTGTCTCTGCCTCGCCTGTCTCCTCTGCCTCTCCATTCCTTTGCCTTCTCAGTGCTGCTCTGTGTGTTCCTCTGTCTCCATCCCTCTGTCTACATCTCTCTGTCTCCCTGCCAAACCTTCTCGCCTACAAACCTCAAACGCTCCACCCTGACCGTGCCCCGCCTCTCCCTTCCTCCCAGCCCCTCCCCTTCGGCCCCCACCTGCCTCCCTCGGGTGTATTGCACACTGCTTGGTCAGGGAACATGGTGTGATGTTCATGGGAAGAGGTGGAGGGAGCTCTAGGGCCTGGGGGGAGGGGCAGGGCCGGGGTCTCAGGGGAGGGTCTGTGGGGGCGGCATCCACTGTCCCCCACCTTAGGAGCAGCCACAGCGATCCACCACCATGCCAGGGATCTTGCCGTAGATAATCTGCTGCTTGTCATTGAAGTAGAGCATGTTGATCGGGGACATCTTGGTAGGGGTGCAGCAGGGCCCGGCAGAGCCCCTCGGATTGGCCTGCTGCACCAAGTGGGTGTGTGGGTACTTCTGCATGAACATGTACTCGCACTGGCCGGAGCAGTAGTTGGCCTTGTAGCGCTTAGGTGCGATGATCCAGTCCCAGCCGAAAGCCTCGAAGTCCACTGTGAGGGGGTATCGGCAGCAGCGGGACTCGCTGGAGTGCTCGTCACAATCCAGGCCCAGGTTCCGCCGGGACCGCTTGGTGTTCTCCAGGACTCGAAGCTCCATGAAAGGATGCTGAGGGTCAGGGAGAGGGGAGAGAGGTGTGACATGGCCCTGAGTAGTTCTTCGTCCCCGTTCCTTTCCCACCTGCCTCTCAGCAGGCATCAGAATAGAGTCCACTGATTTCTCAGCTATTTTCTTTTCTCCCACCCCCAGACCTTCGTCTTTCTTGCTCTCTAGCCATCTCTCCAACTCACCTTCTTCCCTCATGCCTGCCTGGCAACCTGACCCTGAACAGCCCCTTGGCCCGGGGCCACGATAGCCAGGTTTTGTGTTCTCACGGATCTCCCATTAACTGTCACCTTCACCCCAAATTCAGCTTTCAGCTGTTGCCTGGCTTGCGTCCCTGAAAAGTGATAGCTGTCACCCCATCCCCCACCAACTCCGCTAGAATCAGTTCCTGGCCCCAGAGGAACAACACTGGTCCCCAGCCCCCTTCAGGTTCACGGTCTACTTCTACCAGCATTCCCCACTTCCTCAGGGCCAGGTTATACATATCCACCACCACTTCAGGCCCCCTGCTCACCAGCCCCTCAGCTCCTGGCCCCAAGGAGGTGACAGCCAGGTCTGTGCCACTGGGATCAAAGGCGTTGATCTCGATGCCCCAGTTGCTCTGTGGCTGGCGGAACCAGCTGTGTAGCACTTGCTTGAAGTCGATGCTCTGCCAGTGGCCGGAGCGCGAGTGCAGCTCAATCTTGAGTGAACGGATACGGATGTGACGCCGGCCTCCACCCCCTCCCCCTGCAGTCCCTTCCCCAGTTAGGGGTTTCAGTCGCAAGATCTGCAGGTAGACTGTGGCTGGGCGGGGCACGGGCCGAAGGTACACCCACAGCTGGGCCTTCAGTACCTTTGTGAACATCACCTTGGGGCTGAAGTGGAAATGGCAACAGAGAGGGCTGCCATCTGTCTGCACTGCGGGGTCCGCTGATAAGAGAGAAGGGGGCAGAGCATCAGCAAAGGGCGTTGTAGAGGGGGTCGGCAGCACCGGGGGGCATTGGCAGTTTGGACTCAGGCAGTTTTCCTGTTCTTCACCCTCCTCCCTTGCCTGTATGGTTGGCAACTGTTACTGTGTCTTTGATACCCAAACAGTGGCTCCTGTCTCTAGGATGATGTCTTGGGCTGTTCTTCCTGATCCGCACCCATTCCCTCACCCATTTACTCTGTAAGTTCTCTGCTAGATAACCTGAATTCTCCTTCCACCTGCATCCTTCCTTCTTCCGGTGTCCCCCAGCATATAAGGCTTGGACTTTTTCTGTACCTGTAATGTTCTTTACAGAAGCCGTGTCTTCCATCACATCTGCTATCCTTAGGTCACCTTGCCCCAAAATACTCTTTTTTAAAATTTTTATTTCCTTATTTGTTTTTGTCTTTTTGAGACAGGGTCTCGCTGTGCAGTTCAGGCTGGCCTTGAGCTCACTTTGTAGCCCAGGCCGGTCTCCAACTTGCAACGATCCTCCTGCCTCAGCCTCCCAAGTGCTGGGATTACAGGCGTGTGCCACCACGCCCGGCCCCAAAATACTCTTGATTTGCCTGTTGGATAGTGAGCCACCTCCCAAACCAAGATGGCCTCCTGCTAGCTCAGAGTCCAGGGGAGTGTGGTCTAATTATCTCATAAAGTAAGCCAGAATTCAGATCTGGACCTCTTGTCTCATTCCCAGGAGCACACCGTCCAGAATGAACTACCCAAGTGCTCTCTGTGCATCTGACTCCCCACTCTCCCCTAAGAACAAGTTTCCTTAGTTGCTTCCTCATTATCGCCACCATTACCACCTTGGCTTTGGAGAAAAGGAAAAACTTGTTTCCACTTGTTTGTCCAAAGCATCAGAAATAATATTCAACACACCAAGTCAACTGTGGTCAATTTTTTTCTCCCCAGGGCTTTCCTTTGGTTTCTCATCCCAGTACCAGTAAGTCTTCACAAAGTCTCAGCATCCCAATTTCATATTTTGACCCTTTCCCCCATGTTCTGGTCTATGCCTTGACCCTTTGGTCTAAAGGATGATTCTCAGTACATCCCTCTGCTTCGATTCCAGCTCCTCCCAGTTCCCCTTCCTAATCTCTTAAATCAGTTGAGAATGCCCTAAAGCATGTCTTCTCTGGACAGGAATGCTCATTCTCCTATATAGAAAGAATCTGGAATGAGCTTCCAGAGTTCTGTAAGTTTGCTAGGAAGTCCAGGTCATGCACATGTATCATGCGCAGGTCTCACGTACTGAATAGTCATGGAGGACTTGGACCGTTGTCCCCCATCAGCACTGCACCCCCCAGAGGACTGAGGACCTCCAGAGGAGGTGGGAAGGAGGACAGCACTTAATGATCTTCATGCATTCGGGACACCATACACAGAGCCCTTCTGAAGCATATTTTTTCTTGGTTATTGAGGCCCCAAGGCTGTGGTAGTCCTCTCAAGTTACCCCACCGGCTGGAATTTCAGTATTAGTGCAAGGAACGAGGGTTTTTGAAGTGAAGATTGAGAGATTAGGAAAATAGCTGGGGCAGAAAAGCTACTGGGGAGATCAGAAAGGACAAGCAACAATCCAAACGCCACATTATAAAAAATAAATAAATAAAAGGACACTTTATGCCTAATCTCAGCACAGGAATCGACTTTCCTGCCGTTAGATTTGCATCTTGCGGAGGGACACTGTTGGTAACGTGTCTGCTTTGCTTACCTTTGAGTGCTTCCTTGACAAGCAGTACTCAGTAAATACAATCCGAACGAACTCTTAGTTCTACATTACACAGGCAGGGCCGGGGATATAGCCCAGCGGTACAGCGCCTGCCTGGCAAGCACAAGGTCCTGAGTTTGATTCCTGGTACCAAAAATAAATAAATAAATACATAACCCAGGCAACTGCCTGAGAGTTCTTAGTTGAACCAAGTTTAACCGTTCCTTGCCTCCTCCTTAACCTGTATCTGACCTTATCCACCAATATCTGACTTGGCAGTGTGATAAAGATAATTCTTGATTCATAGGAGCATTAAATGAGCATTAAGGGGCTGGGGATTTAGCTCAGCGGCAAAAGCGCCTGCCTGGCTTGCGCAAGGTCGTGAGTTCGGTTCCCGGTACCGGAGAAACCCGCCCCCCCAAAAAAATGAGCATTAAATAATGTGAAAACAGTAGTAGTAGAGGTCCTCAATAAAGGCTGGTTGATTTGTCGTGTACGTTCTAAACATACCTCACTACCTACGCTACCCAGACTTCGGAGAGGAGGGGTGGGCACGATGCCCCCAGTCAGTGGCGCCGGCCTATGGCACTTGTGTCACAGCGGGCTGTTCCTACCACTGAAAGCTCTAAAAGGTTCGGCATGAGTGCTCTAAATCTTCGGTTCCTTTAGACAAAAGTTCCCCCATCTTCACCACAGGGACTCCTCAAACACTTCTCCCCCAGCGGACACGGTGACAGTCAGTGCTGCTGGGGGACAGGATACGCACAAAGTGAAGGGACAGAGGAAAAGCGGGGAGAGTTCGGAGAGGCCGAGGGAGAAATGGAGAAAGGACAGGAACGGAGACAGGTTACAGGAGATCAGCAGAGGAAGGGAGTGGGCGGGAAGATCAGGCTGTGGCGAGAATTAAGTTTTGAGTTGGAAAACATCAAAACGAGGTGGAAAGGAGTGGGTGAGGGTTAAGAGACAGAGGTGGGAAGGAGCTGAACCCAGTGGGGTACGGAGGAAGAAGGAGAGGGTACAGGAGGGGGAACAAAGGGGAAGCAGGTAGAGCTACAGAGGGAAACCGGGCTGCAGAGAGCCCCTGGCGCACACAGGCCCGGCGCCGGTGGGGAGGGGAAGGGGCCACATCTGTGTCGGATTGATCTGGTTGGTGGCAGGCAGCAGGTCAGGTTTAGTAGGCGGTGCTGGTGGGGGAGAGAGGTCATTGCACTATTTTCAGCGAAAGCCCAACCCCCTCCCTACCCACCACAGCCGCCGCCTCCTCCACCTCCGCTGCCAGCCCCCCCACCCTTCTCCCAACCCAGGCTGGAAGGCCTAGGGGCTGGAGGTTGGGCTGAGAGGGCAGGGGCCTCTCAGTGCAGGGAGGAGAGACAAACTGAGGGGCTGGGCTTGGCTCCCTGAAGGGCAGGGGGCTGGGTTCCCAGGATGAAGCCCGGGGTGGGAAAGCCTGAGAGGGTAGAGGGAACTAGGGCAGGCACAGCAGCCTAGGAGAGGTGGGGGCTGGGGTCCAGGGTTGAGGGCTGGGGGAGGGGAGGCAGGGGGAGGGGAGTAGAGGCCATCTCTGCTGACAAACACCTCCCCCGATTAGCAGAGCACAAGTCTCTTATTAAAGCGGGTCCCTGGGGATTAGACTATAAAAGTCTCTTTTTGCTTTTCCCCTCTCTCCCTCCCCTCCCCTTTACTCCCCCTCCTGGTCTTAAGAGCTCAGCTAGCTCTTAAAGGGGACGTACAATACCTGGCTGGAGACCCTGTTCCCTAGTTACCCAAATACCGGAGTGGCACAGGAGTGGAAGTTGGGGTGAGATTCCACCTGCTGCTGCCCCCCACCAGACCTCACCTGTACTGCCCAAAACATGCACGCTGGAGCCCCTTCACTTCCTGGATCCCGGTAACCGCAGCTAATTCCGCCCAGTGCCTTCTGGTTAAGGGATGCTAGGTATCGTGGGGAGCCAGGGCAAGTCCACAGCCGGATCGCCCATCCTGGAAATCCTCGTACTGCCCCACGCACGCCCGGGAGCACCCCCCTTACCCTGCGCGCTCTTTCCAGCAAACTCTTTGTCAGAATTTCTGTGCCACCGTTCCCTGGGATCCCCACCCCCACCGTCGCCCTCGGTCAATCTCAGACTGACCGTAGCTTCCCCAAGCAGAAGCCATAGGAACAGAAGGGAAACTGAGGAACCCAAGACAAATGTCCATTCCTTCCCACACCCCCACACACGGCCCTTCCCACACCCTGGACGTGCGTCCACTTAGTTTCCTGGCTCTCTGAGTTTTCTTTATAGTCCTGACCAAGGACTGTGGAGTGAGTTCTGCAGAAATGCGGGCGGCAGCGCCAGGCACTCCTCCTAGAAGCACACCTGAGTCTCCGCGCCTCTCCTTAGGGTGGGCCGCTGGGACTCCCCTCGGCCCCGGCTTTTTATGACCCATCTGCCAATAAACCGCCCCCCTTCTGTTCAAAGTCATAAAACCAAACGGGGGAAGGGGGACCTTGCCACACCACCAGGGAATACGAGTGAGCCTGGTTCCCCGGAGTTGAAAAGTGGGGGGAGACCCCCTGGGGGAGGGGAAAGTCACCTGACCCTCGGGAGAGCTGGGGGTGGGGGTGGTAGTATTGGCCTGGATTTTCCAGGCCATAAAATTTCAAAGCAGCTCATGTCTATTAACATGTTCATCTTCCGTTTGGCCGGGAGCTTGGATGCCTGGGTCCCCGCACACGCCCCCACCTCGTTCTTTCTCTTAAGTCCAGCTGAGGGTACCGTGGGTGAATAAGGGGCGCAACGCTAAGGGCTGAGTAATCAAATGGTTGCCCTTAACACCTAGGGCATTGGAGTTGAATTCTCTGAGCTTGCTCGGTACCGAGAAGGCGCTGCTTTTCTGGCCCGTGGGATACCCAGGGCGAGATACACAGCTCAGGATGCAGAAAGCCGGCTGTGCTGCCCCGAGGGACGCAGGGTGCCGGGACTGGAAAAGCAGCGCTCAGTTCTCCGCAGCCGGGTGGGTGCGTTGCGGAAGGCGGGGCGGGGAGCGGTGCCAGGGCGGCGGGGAGGCAGCACTGCGGGCCGGCTGGCACTGCGGGGTCCAGGGGCCGATTCTGCTCTGCAGCCTCCCCTGCAAGACCCTTCAGGACCGAGTCGCTGCCCGGTTCCCTCGGTCGCGGCCCCAGCTTCCCCGGGCTGCTCCAACGCGGGTCTTTCCCGCACTCGGGGAGCGGAGCAACGTCTCACCGCCGCCCCGCCTGCCCCCTCCCACCTCCGGGCACCTGGCGTGCACAGAACTCCGCCGCCCATCTCCGCCGCTCGGAAAAAAGTTCTGTGAAGTAGCCCCCGCGCCCCAATCCGTCAAGTTTTCCAAGTGAAGGCTGCCGGGCCGGGGCAGCCGGAGCGCCCCGCCAGCAAGCGAGCGGCGCCCTTCCCCGACCGCGCAGCGCCGGCCGCACCGCTCCGTCCCGCTGCCCACTTACTCTCCTGGGCCATGCTGATGACGGTCTCGGTGGTGGCGTGGTACTCGTCCTCCTCCAGGAAGTCCTCGGGCTGCAGCGCGTCGCCCTGGAAGTCGTGCAGGTCCAGGATCTGCTGCAGCGGCGGCGCCTTGGGCAGCAGCTGCTTCACCACCTCGCGGCTGATGTTGGGCGCCTCCTTGAGCCGCAGTTTGCTCAGGATCTGCGACTTGATGCTCTCCAGGCGCAGCTCGCGGCTGTGCTGCCGCCACACGCACACGGGGCAGCCGTCCGGCTCGGGCGCCGCGGACGGGGCC